ATTTTCTTTACTTACTTTTCATACTTTTCCTGAGATAAATTTCAATTTGGTTGTATGATTAAGTTCATTATACCCATTTATAAGAACAAAGTTCCTTTATATTCCACGCTTCAAAACTTTTATTAGTTTAAATAAAAGTTTTATTGGTGTACTTAAAAAGGAATTGTAGGTGGGACGGAGAGGCTTTGAAAATTAAAACAGTGTGTTACAATTTTAGATTGTAAAATAATTAATTTGTAAGAGAAATATATGCATAGTTGTATGTTTTATAATTATTTTTATATAAAAATCATATAATACATGTGATATTTATTTAATAGATATAAAATTAAGAAATATTAAAAAATTACTAATTAATTATAAAAATGGGACTTTAATTGCAACCTAAAAATAAATTAATGTATAAAAAATTTTATAAGCTTATTTTCACATGTAAAATAAATAAAATAAAAAGACACATTAAAAATAAATAAATCCTTTGGTAATCTTTTAGTTCGCAAACTTATTTCTCTAAAAAAAAATTAAAAAAAAATAAAATAAAATAAAATAAAATTATGCTGCAACACTATGAGCTCATTATAATAGCACCATTGGATGGCCCACAGATTCCAAACCGAAAAGACCATTTGCTGCGGAGACAACACGCGGACTACCACCAGCCCCTATAAATACCCTTCTCACCATTCATTCTTTCTTTCACGTCACCATTCAGGACACGCTACTCCACTTGACTTCTCTGCAGGACCATGCAGTCGCTGCAACACAAGGCTTCTGAGTGGAGCGGAGTTGACACGGCCGACGCCTTCGCCATTGATGACACCAATTTGTTTCAGAAATTAGGCCTCGATGCTTTCATTAACCTCTCCACAAATTTCTATAACAGGTCCTCTCTCTCTTTCTCGTTCGCTCCTTGTAAAACGATATATGCTTTTTTTTTCGTATAATTGTCGAGTAAGCTCGATTGGTCTCATAGTTGTGGAAAACTATGATTTTGTTAGTCCAAAAGTGGTTTCCTGTTGTATTGAGTGCAATCTCAATATTTTTGTTCTTTTTTTGGGTTGGAGGTCATAGTTTAGGTTTTAGGATTTGGTTGGTTGATGAGAAAATTGTTTGGAGATAAAACTCCTATGATTGAAGTGACTGTTTTTCTTTATCTTATTAATGGAAGCAAGATCGAAGGTTCCATACATGTTATTTGAGTGTTTTCTTTTTTCAATTTAGTGACTAATATACTGGGGAATTAGGGTTTACGATGATGAGGAAGACTGGTTTCGGTTAATTTTCTCAAACTCGAAGAAAGAAGATGCAATACAAAACCAATACGAGTTCTTTGTGCAGAGAATGGGTGGGCCTCCCCTGTACTCGCAGAGGAAAGGTTAGCCATCTTCATTCTCATTTCGGAATTTCTACTTTAGTTTGGATTTTACTTTAAATATTCTCTGGAGAATCATCTGTTTATAACCATTATTGTACCGAAATGACAAGAAACCTACACATGTGTAGGCATTGAAACAAGAAATCTGCCCGAATGAACTTTTTCGGGAATGGTCTTTTGACAAAAATAAGAATTATTTCCTCTGCTTTTCTGCACCATGAGGATTCTTGCCATACACTTTGTCATTCATTCTAAAAACTTTTGGTCTTTAACAAGTTTTGAGTTTTGTTATTTTCAGAAGTTGGGGATGATGTACTAACAGACTATGAAACCAATGTTGTTTCTTCTCTTGGCTTTAGGGTTTAGGTTTTGTTTTTCATGAACTCCAACAGACATCACTCATAGACTGAATTCCTAACCTTCTCCAAGCATGTCAGTATACATTTATTCTGTTGGACCAATTTCGCCGCTAGTATCTATTTAGTTTCTTCTGATTAATTCCTTTCGATGCCTGACTATTAAATTCTTGTTCTTCAAATACAATGAGCTAAGTGTAGAGCATGTATCGCCAGCTCTCTTTTGTTTGCTATGTTGCTTGAGTGCATATTAATTCACGAGGCCCGTGATTCAAGGATTAGCAGGAGTAAAAAAGACTTAGAGAGCACCAGAATATGTGGGAGTGGGATTTAACAAGCTTCTTTTTTATGTATTTTCTTTTATCTCTTGCAGGGCATCCTGCTCTGATTGCACGCCACCGACCATTTCCTGTCACGCATCAAGCTGCAGAGAGATGGCTACATCACATGCAAGATGCATTAGACAACACCCCAGATATTGATTCTGATTCCAAAATCAAAATGATGAATTTTTTCAGGTGCAAGTTTCACTAGTTCTTTTACTTCTTTTGAGTTGTGGTCCCTTTTTGAGTTGATTATTCACTAAACTAATATGGTATGATGCGTCTCTCTTATGTTTTCAGGCACACGGCATTCTTTCTCGTGGCTGGAGATGAGTTGAAGAATCCGAACCAACAAGTTGCATGTAAACATGCTACTAGCAAACCAGCTGCAGAGTAAAATTATTGACATGATTTTCTTTTCCCTTTGGTGAGGAATCAGATCGTAATAAGGAAATTATGAAACTTACAGTAAAGTTTTTCTAGATTTCTAATGCAAAACTTGAGAAATTTCCATATTTCTTATATATGCTTCTCATTGTAATCTTGGTAATTTGTAAGCAACTCGAGTTATAGTTTTATTACCTTTGGATTTACTGACCACAGATCTCTGTTTTTTTATGAGCAATCAACAGTCAGGGTATGGTGATTGGATTTCCTGTGAAGTTACTTTAGAATATACATGGTTGAGATCATATACAGTCAGGTTATATACATTCAGTTGAAGATAAAGAATTGATTGCCTCTAGTTAGAACTCTGATAAACATGCAGGTCACATACAGGTCATGAAATTGCATCATTAACATCTAATAGATTTATGCAAGCGCCGCATTTTTCCCATTTTTCAGGCATTTAATAGACTTGCTAGAATTTAGAAAACTTACTACAAAAAGGGAACAAGAAATGTTTGGAACTAAACCTGATACTAATAGGAAATTTTTTTTTTTTAAAAAAGAAAACAATTCTTAGCACAAACAAAATAGAACTAGTAAAGCAAAATTTAGGATTACTACTACTGAATTTAGGAAAGTATCTTGCTTGCTGTCCAAATTTTTATTGCCCAAGGAAAGTTGAAATTAACGTGTCATATTTTTCACTATTTTTTTTTTGAAATAAAAAATATAACGAATACATATTAACATGGTACCAAAAAAACAAAAAGTTACCACCCATTACAAAAGTTTTAGAATGTAGTTAGTGTATCAATGACATACCCAAAATTTTCATCACTAATTATGTCATGTTCTAATACAATAAATCTAAAATAAATCTATACAAATCACCATTTTTACCCTCAAAAGCCCTAGAATTTCTCTCCTTCAATAGAACCCAAAAAATGGTTAATGACAACTTTTTATCAAAGTGCACACCATCCTAAACCCACAATTCTTCCCGTATAGGCCCAACCACTGTCCAATTAATACCAAGTAGATTGTAAATAAGGTTTTATAACTCAAAGGCCACAGGACACTACAACGACACATGATTACATGATTCTTCTGCTTTCATGCATAAATAACATATGTTTGGAATGTAAAGTCCTCTAACTTTTAATTTGTTAATAGTCAGTGTACATTCCCTGCAGGCTTCCCAAGCAAAAAATGCGATTCTTGATGGGACTTTTGTTTTCTAAATCTGCCTCATGGTAAAATGATGTACGCAAAAGATAAGTTGGTCATACAAGTGTGTATCCATAACCTCCATCTGTAGCCAAAACCCATCATACACAACATATAATCCACAAACTTCCAACTGACATGATCATAAGTCTTCTCTATATCAAGTTTACATATCAAACTATCTTTTTTTCTAGTCACCATGTCATCCACCACCTCATTTGCCGCCATGACAGCATCTAATATTTGTCTCCCTTCCACAAACGCATGTTGACTTTCCTCAATAATCTCTCCTAAAATCCTAGAAAGCCTTCTAGCCAAGACTTTTGCGATAAGTTTGTAAATGCACCCCACCAAACTTATTGGTCTAAATTCATTGAAGTTCTTGACATCTTTCTTTATGGAAATGAGAACAACAAAAGTGGAATTTAAGGATTTCACGAACTTACCGGTTTTGTGCAAGTCCCTAAACATCTCCATTACATCATTTTTTATCACATGCCAAAACTTTTATAGAAACTTCATGTTAAATCCATCCGGCCCCGGTGCTTTCTCACCATTACATAAAAAACAATGACTCTTTAATCTCATCTTCATTAAATTCCATCTCGATCATCTTCTTGCTACCCTCAGACAGAACCTTGAAGTTAATTCCCTCAAGGGTGGGTCTCTTATCGAATTCTTCCTTATACAAATTTGAAAAGAAAACCCTGGTAGCATCTCTTAACTTCTGATTACCAGCCACTTTTCTGTCATCAACCCATAAATCCACAATATAGTTGTTTCTCCTTTGTTGGTTAGACATGGCATGGAAATACTTACGTGTTTTTATCTCCTTCTAGAAGCTATTTCTCCCTGGACTTTTGTTTCTAAGATATTTCTTCTCTTTTTAGATGATTGTACTTTTAAATAATCCCTCTTATCCAACTCTGCCTCCTCCAGAAAACCCATACCCTCCTTTTGATCAATCTCATTAACAATTAAGCATAACATCCACTTCTTCTCCATCTTTCTTTCTTTTTTCTTTAGTCCATGTCTTACTCCATGCTTTTAGCTTATAGGTGATTTTGAAACTAGCTTTACCCTTCACCTCAGTGTTTCTCCATTTTTCTTCAACAGTAGCACAAAGTTCTTTATCAATAAACCATTTATTATCGATTCGGAATGGAATGGGACCCCATTATAGACCATTCGTTTCTAAACAGATAGGATAATGATCCGAGATAGGGCGTTGAAGGGGTTTTTGCACAACATCCGAGAGTTTAATCAACATATTTGGGGATAGGAGGAACCTGTCGATGCGTGAGCAGGCAGGTTGATTTCTTAAGTTTGTCCAAGTCTAGGGTCCCCCAAACAACGGTAAGTCAGCCAACTCCAAATTGTCAATCAACTCTCTAAACACTTGGAATCTAGAATGTGAGTTTATACCACCATTTCTCTCCTTTCTCCTTAGGGTTATGTTGAAATTACCTCCAACAATCCAATACTCATCTCATTGCCTTCTGCACGCTTCAAGTTCTCTCCCCAACATTTTCCTTTTTTGCCTATTCCCACGACAATAGACCTCGGTAAATGTCCACACAAAATCCCCCAATACAGTTTCTGAAAACACAGGAGAGAGAGGTTTCCCCTTTCACTGCATCAATTTATTTTACTCTATCCTCCCTCCATATAACAATGATGCCCCTAGTAATACCACTCCTGATAATTATTTTCTTTTGCTCACATCTTCTCCATTTGAAATGAACTCATTCTTTGAGGCCTTTTTTCTTCTTTTACTTAAAAGGGCACAACCCTTGTTATAATTGGTTAAAGAAATCCTTTACATGCTACTTACAAGCTGGGAAGATTTGAAGGAATGGCAAAAGAAATTCGCTAATTCGCCGGTAAGCGTCCTTCAGACGGAGATTATTAAGAGTTTGAACTGAAGCCGAATATGATCCAGAGTAGCATCAGACTAGATTTTTTGAAATTTGTCCAAGTAGAAGGGGGCATGGGACACATTCTTACGTCTTCTTTCTTCACCTTTATCTTCATTTTCACATTCCAACCGTGGTGTGGGGAGCATCTTCAGCTTTGCAAATTGCAAGGCTATCACCTCCTTGGCGGTCTTACACTCAACAGTGACACCTTGAGCATATTTGACTTATCAAATCGTAAGCTACTGACACCAGGATAGAATGGGTGATTTCATTATGTATCTGAGGCCGTTCCTGAACTTATTCTGGTGTCAGAGTACTATAAGAATTAAATTAATGTAGATAGAGCATTCAAGTTCAATAAAACCAAGACCCCATAAAAACTGATGTATATAAATGAAGTACGTTAAACAAAATGCAGCAGCTGCAGCTACAGCTTTCAAGATTCTCCTTGTCTGTTTTCATCATAATATCCTCCAACTGTCTGTGTGACCAGAAAATATTTTGACGAAAAAAGGAGCAAAAATAATAATAACTAAGGCTTTTAGAGTCGACGAGTCAAGCTTGAGGCCAGCATTTACCTTCTTTCAAGTGTCTCACACATTCCATAATACATTCTGTCAGAAGATTTAGAAGAACGAGACATTTGCTAAAGTGCAATAACCCTAAGAGAAGTCCTTTTCTTTCCCTCGAAGCATCATCATCTTATGAACTTGGTATTAGTAAAAATATTACTAATACAGTGTTTGTTGTTGATTTGAAATTTGGATCAAATTAGACCAAAACTCGAATAAGGTAGGGTTCGATTTAAAGTAACGGATTTTTTTAATTAATTTAAATTTTTTAAAATTTTAAATTTTTTTATTTTTTAAATTAATATTTAGGATCCAATTCGTTACAAATTTATACATACGATCTATTTATCCACACAAGGATTTATATATATGAACTATTCATATTCATTTCCTCATCCTAGCCTGCAAAAATCATCTATAATAAGATTTAAATTAGTTCTTTTTTTTTTTTTTTGGAGAAAAACATGTTAACTAATGAGTTAAAATTTAATCAGAGATTATATTCAAGATATTTGAGTTAAGTGGTGTTGAAATTGGTGCAAATTAACGATATAAACTTGATTTTTGTGTATGAATATTATTATAATAACTAGGTGAAAATATATATATGACAGAAATTAAACCAATCTATTCGCAACTTGAGAAAGCATATGCATACATATTTTTATATATATACACATATATGTACGTATATAAGTGTTGAAAACAAAGATGAAGTATGTATTTAAAACAGACAGATAACATATATACAAGGATGAGAAGAAGAAACAAAAAGATGTTTGTAATTGTTTTCATCATGAGTTATAGTCAGTGACATACATATTCACACACACACACACACACACACACATACCACATTTATCAAATATCGATCAAAGAAATCGGGTTTATAATCCTGGAGGGATGAGCAAAGCGAGCTGAGAAAGAGCGAGAGAGATTATCAGGCTCTTGCCATGCAGTTCCATGATCAAAATTCTGTGCATAAGAGATTTGATCATATGATGATGATTTCAAATTGCTCTTCTTCTGATCATTATAATCACCTTTTCTTATCTTCTTCCAGAGAATCTCCCACTTTGCTCTTGAATCCTGTATAAAATTACCAGACCTCCTTTGCTTCTTCTTCTGCTCCTGTCCTAGCCTGATTACTCTTTCTCCACTCCCTGAAAGTTTAACCTTCATTCTCAAGTTTTCTTCTTTTCCTTTCCTTTCTTGGACCTTCTACCAATATATTCTTACATATATATATATATATATCTCAACCCTCCTCTATAGTCTTATACATATACACATACGCGGAAGCATATTATACAAACTATATGTTTTTTTAAGAGCAGGAGTTTTATATTATACATCAAACGTGGAAAATTAGTTGGATTCAGCTTTGGCTCGCCGAAAGAGTCTAGTTTAGCTCGCCGCGTGCAAATCTTTTTGAGTTCGTGTTTCTTTTTTCTTCTCCTTTTTTTGAACCAAAAAAAAAACGAGTCCTTTGAATTTTGAAAAGTATGCAGAGATTATATATATATATATATATAATTCTTCA